GCCAAAGTCAGACACTCAACCGACTGAGCCACCCAGATGCCCCTCTATCTTCCTTTTCAATTGGAAGGCCAACAATTGTGTACAGCACAGTAAGAAAAACAAAAACCCCACAGGATAACCTCATGGTTTCTCTTATTCTCTTGTTTTTCTTCTATTCAGTGAACTTTTTAATCAAATAATAATTGTGCACTTCACATGTATCCATATCTCTCAAACCTTTACCTGAAGCCACCTCCCCCCCCCCTTTTTTTTAATGTGCCAGAGTCCTCTGTCAGAATTTATTGGTGTTTATTGAGCCAGGAGCTGTGCTAGGTCCTATAGAGTATGTTTTTAAAGCTGCTGATCGTGACCCATGAAAGCAGAGGACAACCACCATTATTTTAAAGAAAATAGTCAGGCACACTTCATATAATCTTAAATATTGTTTTGAGAAACGTTTACGTTATACACGTGTATGTATGCATGGGACTGGGTCAGGTACAAAATGTATTTTCCCCCTCTGTGGGTTGCAATAAAAAAAATGTGTGAAATCCATTTTTGAGGGCAAAGTTTTCCATACTTTTCTGAAGATAAAAATAAACTGCAAAGTGTTTTTTTGTGTTTTAAATCGTTGGCCCCACCTCAAGTATACTGCATCAGAATCTCTAGGGGAGAAGAGAGGGTTAGGTAATCAACATGTTTAACAAGCCTCCCAGGTGATTCTTATCTAACAGGTTTGGGAAACCGCATCATGATTCAACATTCAAAAAAATTAATAGTCTGCACCCAACCTTATAAATAGCCCTCCTTCCTCCCCGTTGCAATAGCCTGATCTTATTGAGGAGCTAAGACATGCAGTTGAATTTAAATAATAATTATATCTAGATCTTTGTGTATGAAAGGCCAGATGTAAGGTATAAGTAAAACCAGAGTAATGCAGAGCCCTGCCAGTTTCATAGTTGTCATTTATTTTTTCTTTTAGTTTTTCACCTTTTTAAATAAAAATTGCTGATTTAAAAATACCAAAATACTTGAAATATACATTGCATTTCATAGTTCCACCATGTATTCATGGTGCTTTTCCAGTTTCCAAGATGCATCCTGAGACAGGGAACCTTTTACACTGATTGAGACAAAGGTGAGCAGAGGTGAGCATGCCTGACTTCATACCTACCCAACCCATTACACCACAACTCCTGTTTTATGAGATGCGGTCATAATTTGAGCACGATTTATGGAAATACATTATTGAAATGATAAAACATAGTATATTACCTAGGTTCAGAATTTGAATGAATTTTTCTTGTGCCATTATCAACACTACAGCAATTGGAACTGAATAGTTTGCTATTATTGAGCCCAGTTGGCTTTGTTTTCCACCGAGGTAAATACTGGGAAAGCCAGAAGATTCTATGGTGTTCTCTGTTTAAATCTACATTTGTAGTGGGCGCACCAAATGTGCCTCTTAAAGTCTATTTTGATTGCAAAATTTCAAAAATGTGTGTCGCTAAGAGGTGAGACATGAAATGAGTTATCAAAGTCATCTTGTCTTAAGTCATCTGAGGCCTGATGTTGCCGTATATAAAACTGCTTGCTGCAGTATAACCCAGTGTGATCACGTTATATTGCCTGCCAAAAGTATCCCAGTTACTTGTGGAAACACCAGAGGTGAGTTTTTAATTAACCAGTATTTTTCACTATTTTTAACACAGGAAGTCTTAAGGGATACCACCCTCTCAAAAAGAAAATAATTCCATTTGAAACAAAGTGACATTATTAAGAAGGCAAGATATAATTGAATAAAGTCAATGAATGGAATTCATGAATGGAATATAAAGGAAGTCTTTTTCATTTTATACTTTGTTTTATTTTTCATTTATTACTTTTTTAAGTATTTTTTGAGAGACAGAGAGTGCAAGCAAGTGGGGTAAGTGCAGACTGAGAGGGAGAGAGAAAATCTTATGCAGGCTCCACACCTACCACAGAACCCCAGGTGGGGCTCCATCCCACAATGGTGAGATCATTACCTGAGCCAAAATCAAGAGTCGGATGCTTAACCGACTGAGCCACCCAGTGCCCCTACATTTATTACTTTTATTTGTGTTTTAAAAATAAGATCCTTAAAGATCCTTTTAATAGGTAAAAATGTTTTTATTGTAAGGTAGGCCTTTTAACCTGCAGTTAGCACTTTTTCTTCCAGTGTTTAAAACATAAAATATGCTTTGAGACAAATTTGCTAGTTTTTATTACTGATAGTTGAAAGAAGGTACATTATTCTACAAGTCTCAAAAGTTTGCCTTTGTGGACTGTCAGAAAAGGAGGTTGGAAGAGAAATATTTTCTCTTCTCCATTTACATCAGTTAGCTATTGCTCCCCAGGACAGCATCCCCTAAATGAATGGCTTAAAGCAGCAACTATTCATTTAGTTCATAATTTTGGGAGTCAGCCATTTGGCTTGGCCTCAGCTGGGCAGTTCTGTGGTCTGCACCAGGCTCAGCCAACCTCAGTTGGACTAACTTGCTCCGGCTGTGGTCAGCTTCCAGGTTGGCTGGGAAGGAGTTAGGTTAGGATGGTACCTGTTGAAATGGCTTACCTCTGCTCTTTGTAGCTCTTCCTCCAGCATACCAGCATAGTCTTACTCACCTGGGACTTCAGTAGAGCTCCAAGAGATGGAGCAGGATGACCAAGGTCCCTTGAGGCTTTGGCTCAGCACTGACCAACGATATCACTTCCACTGCATTCTAGGTTAAAGCAACTCACAAGGCCAGCTGGAATTCAAGGGTTAGGGCAACTAGATGGTGCACGTGATGGAAGGGCTTGCCAAGTCACATTACAAAGGGGTGTGGATGCAGAGAGGAGGTTAATTGCAGCCATTTTTCTAGAAAGTCTGTACAAAGTCTTACCCTACCTACATAATATGGGAATAATCGATAGAGTGTGGGAATCAGAAAAATATCAATTCTCTTAACATTTGCCAATATAATCTTTATTTTACTGGTAAAGCATAGATAAGTATTCAACTTGAAATTAGTTAATACATTCTAGATCTAGCTTCTTTCTAATGCTAACTGGGAGGGAATATGTACTGGCAACAAAGCATTTACCATGTGCCAGGCAGTGGCCTAAGTGCAACGTATAGCCTGTCACAGGAATAGGTGGTTGGTGGGAGTGTGGAGTCTGGAACTTGACTGGGCTTGATTTCTAATTTTGCCACTCATAAACCAATTTGGGCAAACCAATTTGCCTTATTGTGCTTTAGTTTCCTATCAATAAAATGGGCTTATAATAAATCTAAATTGTAAGGTTGACAAAAGGCTTAAGTCTAAATCTATTTTCAGTGCTGATAACTGTACCTGGTGCCTGATGAGGGCTGTGTAACCATCAGCTGTTGTTACGGTCATGATCATCATTACCCACAGTAACCCTGTGGTGCTTAATGCTTCTTAATTTTATGAGGCATGATTAATACCCTATAGGTAGGTTCTGTTATTTTCTCCTCCAATTTACAGAAAGAATGTTGACGTTCAGGAACGTTGACCAAAGTCACAGAGGCAAGATACAGCAAGACCCTTATCCAAGCCCTGACAGCTGGTTCCAGAGTCTGGGCTTTTCACGCTCTACAAGTGCAAGACTGCCACACTGTGTAATGGTAGCTTCCAAAGAAGTTGTCCGTAGGCCCAGCATTTACATATTTTGTTTCCCCCCCCCCCACTCCCCCATTGTCAGCATTTCAGAGAAGGTTGATTTTCCCCACTAACTGCTTTTCGGTTGAGCAGATGTAAAAGGCAGCTGCGTTGTAGTTGAAAGAGTTTCCACACATACTGAACCAAACTAGCTGGAGGAGAATGGAGCCGGAATCTACTGAGCATCTCTCGCGAGCCAAGTGCAGAGATACACACGTTGCAGACATCTCCTTTCATCTTCACAGATACCCCGTTAGGTATACATTATCCCCAATTTATAGGTGAGGAAACCAAGACTGCTCTTGTCCAAAAATCACAAAGCGCAGGTCTGACGGCAAAGTTTTTGCCGCTACACTGAACTGCTAAATTAAATGTAGAGACTCTATTGTGAATAGTAGGTAAAGAGATTCTACGCCAATTGTTGCCTGATTTGTTTGTTTTAGAAAGGCAGGGTGTCCGACTTCTTCAAGGTGACTTCATGGTTTCACTCTGATGAGTTCTTCTGCTCTTTTCACTTCCAGAGGAGATCTGTACCCTGGTTATCGCTGAGACTTTCCCTGAAGATGCAGGGGTCTTTACGTGCTCCGCAAGAAATGATTACGGCTCAGTAACCAGTACTGCCCAGCTGATTGTCACCTCAGGTATGTGAGCAGTAAGAGATCAACTGGGTTCTGCTCCCTAGCATTTAGTGTGTGGCTCACCACAGCAGGAAGAACTACCCCAGAGGAGAGCTCAGCCTTTAGGAATGCCTGCTGCCACTCCAGGAGTTATCCTGACAAACCAACGTCTGGTCAGGAAACAAAGGCTTTGTGGGGAGAGGGCGTAGACATGGAGATGAAGAACGAAAAGATAATGACAGTGCAGCAACTCAACACACATGGGGCTGTTTTCTCAGTCATGCAACTTGGTCTTGGAAACAATGGATCTGGTTTCCAAACATCCGCATACAACCTAGAATCATGCTGACATCAGAAGGCCACCCCTGCATCAGAGGCGCGGTCAGTGCTGTCAGCAGTTCCAACTGGAGTGCCGGTACTCATACAAACAAATCCTTATTTAAGCCTCGATTGAAACTTCTGAAAAGGTAATACAAGATAAACCTAACGTAACCCGGAGAAGCCGTAAAGATCTTAGAAATCAAATTATCATTGAAAGTGGGCTATAACTCTGATATGAAAAACTGAAGCAGTATATTATACTGTTGAAACCAATATGCAGAACTGCCTGGATATTTTTTAAAACTCAGAAATGTACCACTAGCAAAGATAACATGAAATGGCTTTTTCCTTTATTTTCTTAGAACTTTACTTGATTACTTTCTGCTATTAGTAAGTAGCTTCACTTTAGTTCGCTTTTTTTTTAAATTTTTTTTTAACATGTATTTATTGTTGAGAAACGGGGACAGAGCATGGTCATGGAAGGGGCAGAGAGAGGGGGAGACACAGAATCCAAAGCAGGCTCCAGGCTCTGAGCTGTCAGCACAGAGCCCGACACAGGGCTCGAACTCACAAACTGCGAGATTATGACCTGAGCCGAAATCGGACGCTTAACCAACTGAGCTAACCCAGGTGCCCCACTTTAGCTTGCTTTTATTGCCTCATTTCTATTATTTATTTTACAGTAGCTTTTAAAATAGTGCTTTGGCCAAGCCTGGCACGTAGTACATACAGTAGGGAACCAAGAAACAGGTTGTAGCTGCATGAGATAGTCTTGGGGAGAACAATGGAACTGCACTTGGATCTCTTTGGAAGAGTAAGAAGCTGGTGCTAGGTGGCAGCAGAGGCACAAACAAGACTGGCTTAAGGATATTAAAATGGAAGTTGTAAATGCTTCCTCGTCTTATTAAGAAATGTCAAGTTCACTGGATTGGTGATGGAGTCGATAGGAATCGGTACTTTAAATGGGCAACAGAAACGCCAGTGCTGTGATTGGAGCTGCAGAGCAGGGAGGCCCGCAGGGTTTGTTGCAGAGCTGGCTTGAAGACTGTCCCGTCAGATGGGCATAGCAGTATCCCAGCAATGTGGCCAAAACTCTGGGCTCTAAGCATCTTATGTGGCAAAAATTGGCATGCGGTATTTCCCATTTTCACCTGGGGTAAATCTGCTGGGAGCCGAACATAATCAACAAATAGTTTTGAGCGTTCAGTTGACCTCAGTAAACCTTTTTGAGTCCATTCCTGGAGCTCTGCTGGGCTCTGGGCAAGGTGGGGAATCCAAGGATGACATGATCTTATCGCAAGATGCTTTCTCTCTGTTGAGAGTTAACAAGTAAGTTTCTTTTGTACTGAATTACAGCTGTGGCAGTTATCTGAATTGGAAAAACATGATGCGATCATAAGACATTTTATTTAAACTCAGAGTTTTACTTTCCTTAGATTTAAATAAAATGCGTATCCATCATGTACCACATAAAGCCGTTATAGTTTGAGCTAATGGGTGGTGTGTTCGTGCAGATCCACACGGAAATGTGAGCAAACGAAGCATTATTCATTGACGTTATTTGTATTGTCATTTTTTTTACCAACCTCTGTCTTTAATTGACGTTATTTGTATTGTGTCATTTTTTCTTTTTTACCAACTTCTGTCTTTAATTGACATTATTTGTATTGTCTTTTTTTTTTTTTTTTTTTTTTTTTTTTACCAACTTCTGTCTTTAATCCTGTTTGAAACTTGTTAATAATGAGTTGGTAGCTGGTCTCCCCGCTTGTGGCCCCAGTCAGGAAATGAAACAGGTTAACAGTCCCTGAAAACCAGTTTGGAAGAACCAGGTCCTCCAGCTGGCTTTGCTTCTGTACCATAGAAGCAGAGCAGAGCTCCCACTGTTTAAACAACTTAACGGGGCGCAAGGGATGCTCAGGTAGTCTATGATAGCACAAAAATAACAGTTGAACTGTAACATCTTATTTTTTTTCCTCTCTTTCCCCTTCCTTAGCCAACGCTGAAAACTGCAACTATGACTCAGTGGGAGAATCCAACAGTGATCACTTCCAACACTTTCCACCTCCCCCTCCCATCTTGGAGACAAGTTCCTTTGAGTTGGCTTCAAAGAAGCCATCCGAGATCCAGCAGGTGAACAGCCCGGAATTAGGACTTAGCATGGCAGCCCTTCAAATGCAGTTCAGTTCTGCTGAGAGGGAGACGAACGGAGTCCATCCCAGCCATGGAGTAAATGGACTGATTAACGGCAAAGCTAACAGTAATAAATCTCTGCCAACACCAGCTGTCCTCCTTTCACCCACTAAGGAGCCACCACCTCTGCTTGCCAAACCCAAACTGTGAGTATTTCTGCATGGTTTTATAATACTTTCCATACCCCTGCTAAATTGCCTTTCTGGCCAGGGAAAACTTTTTGCCTGGACTCAACTATGTGGCAAGTTGCCTTTTCTGCAGGCAAGCTGTCCCTGGCCGATGTGACCTTGCTAACAAGTGCGGGGGTGTAGGGGTTGGGAGGGATGTCCTTCAGTAATACAAAAGATACCTAAAAATAAGGAAGGTAAGTGAGATGCTTGGTCAAATCTACCTTTTGCTAAAAGCTATAACTGGTTTCAGCTGTGAAAATATCTGTCCATGGCCTGGCCTTCCAATGTATAGCAAGGATGTAGCCACTCCCCAAAGGGGATGGGAAAGGAGACCTACTCTGAGCTCTCTATTAAAAACACTTCCAAATGTTTTAAATTTAAGAATCAGTAAGGAAATCGGATAGAGATAAGCCTGGGAAGACTGAAAGCTCAGGATGGAAATTCAGTGTGCAGAACCTGGGGAAGGGAACAAAACCACAGATAACCAGGCTCGTCAGGAAGAAGAGTGCCCCTCACAACGCAACCTACTTGGCTTTGGGATTCCATAGCGCTGCGTATTTCTGTGAATACCATCTTCATATTGGATATCCATTATTTTCTTAGCATGATAAATCTGACATGAGCTGTTTCCGTTGGCACACACAAGCAGAGAGTTGTTATGAATGGAGCCATTACAATGTCAGAGAGAGGCAGAAATCAATTAACTCAATAGGTTCTATCATAGCGTAACAGACCTTGAATTACTGCCCCGATAGGGGTCATTGGAAATGTCAGAGTCCTATAAAATGTACATATATTCTGTGAGGTCATATTTCCATGAGAATGAATTTGCCAGAATCTAGGAGTTATTCTTTGTTTTTCTGGTACTGAACAGCCTACTCTCTTCTCTCTGTCATCAGCTCATTTGTTAGAAATGTCAGAATGTATAAGATATTTCAATGAGAATATCTTAGTGTATGTTGCTTTGTTTACTGATTTCATGAACCTTGTTAGACTGATCAACCAGCCAAATGAATGTCTTAAGTTAGCAAATGGGCAGACAGGTTTAGAAAAATAAACTCTGGACAATCTTGCGTTGCAGTTTCAAAAATCTATTACTACGCCATGCTTAATTTTGCATTTCGTCAAAGTTCGTTTTTCAGGTAGCAAGGCTCCTAGGTTTGTGTGCAGTACTGTGAGAGATACCAGGTAAACATTTAATACCTGTGCTCCAGCTCCCCTGAGATGCCAGACAGGTAGAATGGACTCAAAAGTGGCAGCCTTAAAAGAGATTTATACCCTGGTAGCTCCAGCCCATAAAATTAATTGCCGCTGCTGACTCCTTTTATCTTTGTATTTTGAATATGTATTTGTTGTAGTGCTTTTAATGAAATGAGGAACCTGCTGTCTCCAGGGGAAGACTTTTAATGATGAGGACTTGACTGTGCTCTTTGATTAAATGAAGTGTATCGACCATAATGGCTGTCATAAATCGGATATAAATCACAGGCGAGCAAACATGAGGAGCTGTGAACAGGCATTTACAGCCCTTCTTATCTCAGGAGTTTCAGCAGCTCGTCAGCTTGTTGCTCTGCTTTCCAGGGATGCTCGTGTGCGTGACGGGGGCGGGCATGTCCACAAAAGAGAACAGTTCTGTGTGGATTAAGAAGATGAGTAGCTTAAGCACAGGTTTGAGGAATGACACCATGATTTGCTTAGTAGTCAGATTTTCAGTACAATTTAAATTATAGGAGAAATGGACTTCAGTGTTTAATATCCACATAAAGGGGTTACTCCCCCCTCTTCATAAGGAAATTCAGGGAAAGGCAGAGTACCTAATCACAAAACCTGGTAGCTTAGAAGTAACGTTACTCGTACCAGGTTTTGCCATTGTGTTTTTCTTCCCAAATTTTTATGTGCTTAAATATATCCTTACAACATCACTTAATGCTTTTCATATTGTATAATTACCTGCCGTTTGCTAGGCAGAAAATAATTTGTGATGACACTTTCAAAATATATATATTTCAAAGTTTTCTTATGAGGTATAATACTTTTGGG